AATTAAGTCGTATATCCTTTATAGTATAAAGTAGGTAGAGTCGATATACACGATCTAGCCGTTCTAGTCTATAATCCTCGAACAGCTAATATAGCTGCTTAACGTACTTCTCGTCGATATCGCGATTTCGTCCCGTACTCTATTTAGGAGTCGTACTATCGATAGGAAACCTTATAGTTATTAAGCGGAAAGGCTCGGCTCGTTCTCCGATCGATTTAGTTTCTAGTAAGCCGTCGCCGACGGGCCTAATCTTTTTCCGAATAGTACTATTACCCTACTCGGACGGAGCTAGCCTCTTACGCGGCATATCTAGTATACGGCTTAAAAATATAGGATAAGAGAGGAGAGGGAGAGAGATAAGTCGAAAGTAGATAGTAAAAAGTAGCGATATACGTTTAGCGGGCCGACTTCCCGAAATTAAGGGGTTGTCCCCTAGGATAGCCTAAATTTAGTTTAATACGCCGTTTAGACGCTTATACCTGTACTATAAACCTTCGATACCGATTGCTATATATATATACTTAACTCTACCTTATTTAATCTCTATCTCTCTCTCGCTCGCTTAACCCGGATATAGCGCTATACCCCTTACCGATAATAAACGCTACCTCTACCGTACCTAGCTCGACGCTACCTATCTCTTATACGCTCCCTATTCCGACCGTCTAACGAGAGTATAGTACGACTACTGTACTACCTTCGCTTATAACCGCGATATCTCCCCTACGTTTCTATACGTTCGCCTCGGCTACTTAATAAATAATACTATCGCCTATTTCTAATTCGTAAACGCTATAATTAATCGCTAGCTATTACCGATCCGCTCCGACCTTAACCGTACCTATAGCCTCTTTTCTTTAATTAAGAGTCCGTCTCTACTACCCTTTTATATATAGGGTTAGCTACGATATATCGAGCGCCGGAAATAGGCTATAGCTGTCTAGTACTCTCTACTATACTTCCTAGTCTTCTACTAGTCGGCTTATAGCGGTATTAATACTCCTATTTATAATATAGGCCTATAACTATTACGCTAGTACTACGATCTTATCGCCGATCTCCGTTCCTACGCTACTATTTAACTTCGTTTCCTACCCCGAGAAACCGCCGTTAAAGACGTCGTCGAGGAGTTCTTCCTTCTCGCCTTAACCGACCCGTATCCGACTCCTCGTACGAATCCTCTACTTTAGTAGCTTAGAGTCCTAATCTACGCCGATATCGTCTACTAGCTTCCTTCTTTACCTATTCTAGGTCTCTACGATAGACTCGACCTTACCGCTAAACTCGACGCTCTCGATTACTATACCCGCGTTCTAATCTTCTATAATACCTATATACGATAGATAGACCCCTAACCTTTCTTCTAGCCTACTCCGGAATCTAAAATTAACGTAGTACGATAGGTCGACTCTACCGATATCGCCTAGGTTAGTTAGAATAAAGAAATACCCCCTAATACTAGTCCCTAGCCTAATCTCTCTACTCCTAGCTAAGTAGAGTTTAGATCCTAACTATAAGCCGAGATTAACTCCTAGCTCGTCCGTAATAGCCCCGGCCCTATACGCGACTTTACCGCCCTCCGAAGCGGGACCTTACCCCCCGATCGTCTATCCTAGCTAGAGTAAGCTCCTACTATAGGCTTCTACATTAAATATATCGCTATCTATAACTAGATATAGGACCCTAAAATCCTCTCTAGTACCTACCCTATAACCCTAAAGCGTTACTTCTCCTCCTTAGATACTACGAACCGCTAAGTATCGAAGGTCGTGTCTAGTACCCTACGTCGTAAGCTCGAGGATCCTCCCGAAGAATACGATCTAGATATATTAGACGATATATTCCTACTAGGCGAGGATAACGCCTTAGCTGTCTAATAGGACCGCGCCGAAGATATAGACGGCTTCGCTAGATCCCGTACTATCTATATTAGTAGGTAGGAGGCTACGAAAGTACTTACCTAGGTTAAGAGAGTCGCTATTTAAACTACTATATATTATTATATATATTAATATCTCTACGTCTACTATCGAATCGCAGTTTATCTTACTTTTTAGGCCTGTTACAACTTAGGCTTTCTATATATCCCCCGGAACAACACTCGAATCTACTATATTCGGTTAGTCTCTAGGGACAGTACTATAAACGTATATATACTAAACTTGTCCCTAGGGACAGTATCCGAAGCTCGAGAAGTTAGCTTATCCCTAGGGATAGCGTTCCTAACCTCGACATCTTTATTATTTATTAACGCTCTTAATATTAATATCTATCTTGTCCCTAGAGATAGTACTTCCCTAGAATTTATAGGCTCTAAGCTTAACTTTCGGGTCTAGGGCCCTTCCTAGATATAGAAATCTTAGGGTATTACTATAATATTTAGTATTTAAGCTGTTCTCTCCCCGAGGAATCTATACGTAGTAGATATTATATTCTTGTATAGTTAAATATCGAAACTAAGAGTATATTAACGAAGGTTAGTATCGGCGATACTCTTCTAGCCGTGTTTACTTACCCTCTTTTTCTCTATTTCTCTACCTATATATCTATGTACTAGACGGTATACTAGGAGTCGGATTTAATAGTTACGTCTATATACGAAAATGTGTCTAAGGAAAGGTATGTCTCTAGAGCTTAAAGGACAGTACGTGTTAATCGAGGTTTATTAGTCCCTAGGGAAAGACTAGAGACTATGTCCCGCGACGTAATAACTAAGTAAATAGCCTTCTTTACGATATGCTCCCTCCTAACACCTTACTAACTTATCGACTGTTCCCGCGGCCTAATCTTCTTATTTCTAAAGCTAAAAGATAACGACCCCTAACGTAGGTTTAGAGGCTTTCGTAAAGCGACTATCTATAGTATAGGGTTTACCGGTAATACTAGTAGCTTATGCGATTCTAACCTTCGTAACGAATAATAATAACGCTTCCCGTAATATACTATATTTACTTCGCTAACTTATTAACTACTTTATACACCGAATTCTGTATATCGATAGAAAAAGTGCAAATAATAGGATATCCGCTATTCCTAGAAGTAGCGTAGACTCTTATATGTATAAGCGCCGTAACTATACTAGGACGACTAATTACTAGCGCGATAGCCTTATTAGGTAGGCCCGTAGCAAGCTATAGTCGAATTAAGCGACACTACGATAGCGGCTATATACAGCTCGAAACAAGGTAGACTAGCTGCCTTGCCCTTATATAAGCTACTTTATAACGTCTAGCGCTTATAAAAGCCCCATTTCTACCTCTTAACGCTTACGCTCTTTCTATACTATATACTACTAGCGTAACATGACGGATAATAAGCTAATCGATGCCTTACGTAACACGACTTTAGACGACGATGCCCTACTCTTTTCTCCTAACGAATATTCTTAATAGGCGAGTTTAGAACTAAACTCTATCCCGCGCTTTCTATTCCGCGTCTATACACCTCGATCGGACGGCTTTACGGATAAGACAAGAGTATCCTTACGAGATACTACGTTAAAAATACCTAGGAGTAATAAGGATATTTTCGCTACTAAAACTCGGGTAGTAACTACAAGACTTATTATAGACTATATATAGTAGGTAAGAGACTAAGGAGATACACGAAGAAGGGACAACTTAGTATCCTAGTCTAGTAGTATATTGTTTCTTATCCGCTATATATTCTACAGGTATTACGATATAGACGATAAGTCTTCTCTCGACGATATTTACCTACTCGTAGTAGATACTAAAGCGTTACCCGTAGACACATTTATCCGGGATACCGACCTTATCTCGGCGTTCGAATAGTTCGATAGCCGCGTAACGAGGGGGCTTAAATAAATAGCTAAGTAACGTAAAGGCGTTTTATACTTTAGCGAATACCTATCGTAGGGTACTCTCCGACTCGATAACAAATATAGTACGGTCTCCGCTTACGTGTTAATCTACAAAGGCCTCTTATATCTATACGACGGCTTTTAAAGTGTACGCGATAGCGAGGATACAGGTCGGTAGGTTATACCGGTCTAAAAAATGCGAGATACGATATAGATAGCTCGGGAAAAGCAGCCGGCGTCGCTTGAGCTACTAGACGATACCCTTAATATTACGTTAGAGTATAGTATATACTAGCGACTTCCTATCGCTATTTAACTCCTAGTATTACTACTAGAACGTCTAGAGTATAGCAAAGTCCTAGAAAGAATATTATATCGAATAAGTCCGAGCGGTAAGCGATATTATAAGTTTGTCGATAGATGTTAAGGATAACTTATCGAACAGAACATAAATTCTAGTAGTGTGCGGTATACTAGAAGACCTTACACGCTCTAGAAACTATGCCTAAACTAACCCGCGGCCGCTCTCTTATACAAGATTTGCTCGCGAAGTATTTACTAGGTCGGTAATCTTACTATTTTTGCGATAGAAGATAGTAAAGGCAGGACTAGTTACTACTCGATTAGTACCGTTATCTTCGTCTTAGTATAGAAGACCTATACTATTTACTCGGCCCTTACTAGGGGAAAGTATTATAATTAGCAATTATCCGAAGTATAGGATATTTATATTAGGGAAGATAATACGAGAAGCAAAGTAGCTTTATAATTCCTAATTCGGCGACCTCGAGCTTAGTTTCGACCTACTTAAGTCTAGAGCTATATGTCTTTATAGCTAAGCTAGTAATATTTCGTCTTTTAAACGTTTCTCTTCTTTATTCCTCTAACTCTGTATCTCTAGGCCGTATATACACGCTAGGGCATTTCTGTCGTTATAATAGGTTATTTTATCTATTATCTGCTAGTAATATCGCGTCTAGATAATCCCGCCTACACTACTCTCGTAATACTAAAGGTGAACGCGGTAGCGATTTACAGACCCTGTTCGTCGATATACGGACGTCCGGTTATATATAAAGGAGCGAAAGGTACTCTATTTTACATTTAGAAAATATTGTAGGCTCGTATTATAAGGCTAGCTCCTATTAATAACGGACGCGGACTTGCCTACAATTTGGTCCGACTATCACAAATGATAGCTCATCCAGGGAAACGTTAGACTCTGTAGCAACTACGAGCTCCTCTTCCTCGCTAATATCTAAGAGCTAAATTCGACGAAGACAGTCTATCTCGTAGGTAGCCTCCTACGTAACTTTATATCTTAAGAACCCTTACTATTAGGGTTTCGAAGCCGCGGTACCTAAGGAAGAAGGAACCGACGCAAATATACAAAGCCAGTCAATGTGTCCCACAATTTCGCTATCAACCGGAGTCCATTCAGAGGCTTGTTCTAACGCTTGAAGCGGGCTTTTACTAGAAGGCCCTTAATTAGTATTCGATTTCGGCCGAGATTTAGGTTCTTTATTATATCGTAGTATACTCGACGACGACGTTAATCTAGATAAAGGCTCGTCGAGTTCGGCAAGTGTAGTAATCTCGTCTAGTCTCTTACTAGCCTATAGTATAATAGAAGAGGTCGAGGGCGAGCTTAGCGGATAAAGCTCGAGATTAATCCTACTCTAAAGCGGAAAAAGACGCTAGCTACGTACTTTCTGCGATCTTAGATACTCTGCCTTTATATCGACAAAGACTAACGCTAACGCTGAGCGTAGACGCTATAGGGCCGGCGGACTAAATATCTCGAGGTCGGGAATCGTCCATTGATCAAACATTTGTCGATGTGCCCTAGTAACGTAGAACAGTTTATAAGCCCGGATAAACGAGTCGTAAAGGAAGTAGGCTTCCTTAGAAACACCTATTACCCGAGGCGGCAGTTCGAGCGCGGTCGACTTATAGTACACAAGGATTTAAATTTCGGTATAAACAAATTACTAAAGTTGGACTTTAGACGTAGTAGACGGTATATAGTTCGGCAAGAACGCGGATTTTACGTTAAGAAAGTATAACCGATACCGCCTAGACAGTATAGCTAGGTGCCGCGATATGCGCTAGTAGTTAGCTACTTTACTAACTTCTCGTACGTCCCGTGTATCTAGATACGACTCTAGGCAGCTAAGAGCTCGTAAGCGTTCCGGAAGCTTAACACCGTTTTCAGTTAAGTAATAGGCCTTCCGGATAATATGTTTAATATTACGTTGTATCTCACCGCGCCCCCTAGTCTCTAACTGCTTAAAAGCTGACTTAAAGCTAATAATTTAGTCGTCTAGTATGTGCTTATTATCGAATTTACCGCGCTACAAAGAAGTACGTATCGCTATACGGAACAATTTTCGGAGACGAGAGGGCAGTAGTAATCGTGTCTTTAGAATATAAGTCGGCCGCTAAAACTATAAAGATTCTAGCCGTCCTAAGATCCTATTACGGTTAAGATCGGTAACGAGTTTAAATACCTGTTCTTCGTAAATTGCCCGAGTAATCTCTACTAAGGTTAGCGACACGATAATATACGAGGAACACGTGTAGTTACCTTTTCCCGCGTGTCTCCGAAGTGTTTCTATAATCTTGTTAAGAGTCTCTACGACCTTATCTAATATACCCTTATTTGTAGCGAACGTTATAATAAGTAACGTAGCGGTTTTCTACTACTCTACTACTATAGCCGAGACGGACCCGACCCGAGGCTATAAAGTAGCGATATAAGCAAAATCGTCTACTAAACTCCTTTCTACTTCTAGCGATATTAGGTATAGAGTGTCGCGACTACTTAGTAGAGTACTAGTACAAGGACGACGGGCCCCGACGTGCTTATTATTATAGAGCTTCTATATACGATACTCGAGTATATCGCGATTAATACCCTTCTAGATACTTTAATTTCTAGAGGCTGTATCGGGATATAAAGATATAGTATTCGTATTAGTAAACGGTAGATAATAGAGTATATACTCCGGAAATTAGCTTGCCTGTTATATATTACTCTACACTACTTTTGTGTCTAGTAACATTTCGTAGTCCTAAGAAGCTTATCGGACCGGTGAATAGGTACGTAACTTGCCGCTATATACCTCGTGTACTTCTATTAGTTAGCTGCATAATACACGGTTATTACACACCTAATATAGGCTTCTACAAATATATCGGAAAGGCGGCCCGGTTAGATATTACTAAATAGACACCTTATAATTAGCTAATTTAAGCATGTTATATACGAGGTTACGGCACTAATAGACTCTACCTCGTCGTAATTCGATATTATACCTAGTCTAGACGAATTTAACGTTAAGTACATTTACTTTCTAAGTACGTATTACTAGTAGAGTATAACTAGCCTGTCCCTAGGGATAATAGTTATATACCCTTAAATGTGCTGTCCCTAGGGATAGTACTCGAAACTTAAAGATAACTATTGTCCCTAGGGATAGTAGTTATATACCTAGAATGTACTGTCCCTAGGGACAATGTTTAAAACTTAAAAATAACTATTGTCCCTAGGGATAGCTTTCTATAGCCGGTTATCTTTGTCCCTAGGGACAAGTTTTAACCCTAACCTAAGGCCTTAAGACTGTTTTTCCGATATAGACTATACGAAAAGCGAAATCTTCTCCCTCGATAGCGGCTCGTACTCGTTATACCTCTCGAGCGAAGGGGCGCGACTAGTCGCTATCCTCCGGTGTCCGTATACCTTTTATCTACGCTTTAAGCTTCTAGTACTTCGTTCGGATATAATACGAGGTTATTTCCGCCCCTAGTAAGGATAATACCGCCGTCGTTAGACTTTTCTTTACTAAAAGGTCCTCTAGCCGATAACGGACGGAACGTTTAATATTAGTATATACCTAGAAGTATCTATAAGATAGTACGTCGACTCCTTTATTACGTACGCTAAAGTTATTATATATTACCGTAAGTACGTTCTACTTTAGAAATTTAGGAGGCTAATTTAAGGTAAAGTTAC